ACAGATTAAAAAAACCCAAACCAAACAGCAATGATGACAAAGACCTTCACAAAATCCCCACAACCACACACAGAAAGAAAACAGCCTGAAGAATTTTTGGACTCCAGCTCTGAGCTCAGACCTACAGGATCCCAAATGTGGGTGTCCAACAGGAACAGAGGCACACTGGGTGGGCATTCATCTGCGTTCAGCTGAAGCACATGTGCCTGCTAATGTGCAGTAACGGCATTCAGCATTTGAGTTATCAGGGATGCATTTAGTAACTTACCCAAACTGAAGCTTTTCATTCTCATCCTGCTCCCTGTGAAGCTGATGGAAGCACAATCAGGAATTTCTTGGGGAACTGGCATATTTGTACTCTGTTGTGGCTAGATGCTTTTTATAAAGTTTTTGATTCTGTGTGCACAAATGTATTATTCTCTGATGTCATCTTTAATGCATAATGGTGTTTTAAAATGTGCTTATGGATTAAGCCTGCCCATACACCCATTAAAATTATTTCTTGATGTAAGGAATATAGTTCTTGCATTTCAGAAGCGACTCACAGACTCATGGAAGAAATGCTCCTACAGTTAGATTGCTCCATCACTGATCCTAATAAAGCCTCTCCGTTTGAAAGAAATGGTACAAGTTGCTGTCAAAATAACATGCTAAATTAGAACAGATTTTAATACTATGAACATTCAGTGGAAATTCATACCTTCTCATGAAATATAGCAGCATGGTCCGTAAATTTAGAGACTTCCATAAGCGACTCTTTATCTAAAGGTACCATCTGCCATCATGCAATGCTGGGGTACCACCAGACCTCCTAATAGAAGCATAATAGTATGCTACAGTAACATCAGTTCTATGGGATGTTAAATATTCAGTAGCTCCTCTTACATAGTAGAAGATTCAGGCCTTAGCCTTGTATAAAAACATGCTGTCAAAAAGCTAGAAAAACCATACAAATCATCCAGTCCTACACAGTAAAACCAGCTGCTGGTGTTACTTGTGCCCCAGGGCAGCTTTAATTTGGACGTGCAATATATCACCATAGGGCTGCTTGATCAGAGTTGCAGTCTCAGGAAACATTTTCAGGACTATTCAATTTCCATTAGCAGTTTCTCCAGGATATATTAGGCACAAACTGGGTTTCCTTCAATATCAATCATTCATGTTTTCTCTTTCATCCTGGCTCTGCTAAAATGGGATTTTCATGGTGGCCATGAAATTGCAAAGTTTAGCCTTTTCTTATCGTTAGTTCTATCACTTAGGCTCCTTTAATGGTGTTTCATGGCAAAGGCTGGGTAAGGAACCTCTCTCCACCCTGGTGTTAGAGAACACCCAGTAATGCTCAGTATTTCACCTTTGCCTTTCCATTCAGTAGTTTCCTTCCCCTCTACCCCCAACACTTTCTGCACACTTCAAGACTAATTCACTGTGGCAGTTCTCTGGTCATGGGTACTTTTGCTCTGTTCCCCAAGGATGCAAGTTGGTTACACTTCCCCAGTGTGTGAGAGCAGTACCTTCTCCAAGACCAAGGTTAAACATTAGTTACTTATGACTTTCACAGAGCCCTATGATGCTGCAAGCATACAAATGCTAGCTATACCTCCCAAAGTCCCTTCCGAATTGAATTATCCTACAACATTATTGCATTCATACAGGCCAATGCAAAGATGATGAGAGCTGAGGACACGTTCTTTCTGAAAAGAGTACAAAGCTGCAAATATTGCTTCTTTTTGCTTGCTGTGAAAAGGGAGAAGAAGGAGCTTTAAGAACTGAAATGTTCTTATGAGGAGCAGCTGGTGAGACCAGCTGGTGACTCATGTGAGTTCTAAGCTCCCTGAGAAGTGGACTTTGCTGACCCAAGACAAAAAAAAAAAATTAAAAAATCCCCAAACAAAGCAATTCAAATAACCAAAACCCACCAGTGCTTATGATTCTTGCATGTTCCAAGTCCTTTGTAAGAGCAACCAGCTTAGTTATCAGTGTTTTAGTCACTTTACTAATTATATGATTCTGCTTTTCTAAGTAAACTCCTGGAATTTCCTCCCTCTGATTTGCAAGGGCATTTCTCAGGGCCAGTATTTCCCTCCATTTAGCTAAAACAAACAAGAGCTTTCTCTTTGAAAGTATTTCAGCATCATGAGATAAGTTTCCTTCCTCCTTTTAATAACTGCAGGGCTCCCCAGAGGAAAGTGTCAACATTATTTCCTTCCAAATTCTGAGAGAGATACAATGTTCTTGTAGGTGGTGAGATTAGATTACAGTAAAATTAATTGTTGATTTCAAGCTTTCATTCTTCAGGCTGCAACGTCAGCCCACATGAACCTCTTACTTTGACTCACCTGTGATCTTTATTCACCCTTCCCACATCTCTGTATCAGACAGAGCACACAAAAGCCGCAGGGTCATTTAACTGCAACCCACAACCGAATGGCATGAAATCCAGAAGTCATTGTGATCGTTGTACCTTAATTCTCTACCTGTAGGGAGTGTTCCCGAGGACAGGGCACAAGGACATGGGATCAGACACAAGATCACAGGCTCCATCTTGATGAGTTCACCACGTCCTTTGAAATACGGTAAGAAAAGCCCATGGAGCAGCCCAGGGCACGGGGATGAAGAAAGTAGCAACGATGAGACTGCGTGGTCAGCTGCTGTACATCTCAAACTGCTTCACTGAGCTGGCCCCTTTTGACATTTCTTTTATGAATAAATAAATGAATAAATAAAATCAGCTTGCTCCGTCTGTTATTCACCCTCACCACAAAAGGGTGGATTGATAGCTTGTAGATGGGGTTTTTGAGGAGATATGGAGAAAGTGTCCTTCCAGATTAATTCAAGGACAGCACTCTAAGGAGTCTGTTACCCATTTTTCAAGCGTTCCTATGTTTATTTACTGAAACAACAGGAGTAATATGACATCATAAATCTTTTAAAAATTGAAATGGTAGTGCTAGTCTTGAAAGATTAATAATAAGGAACGCCTTTTAGAGTGTGCTCATGGAAAGGTAATATGAATGATTAGTGTTTTTGAACATTAGAATTACAGTGTGTAATTGTAATGTTATAGCAGCTATATAGGAGCCAGTGATCCCTTAATGGAATATATTGTGAATTTAATTATTTACATGGAAAAATCAGGGCTGATATAGTCACTGAATGGTAGCCCTACCATTTCCTACATCCTGCAAGTCTTATGAAGGAGCAGCATTGCTGTCTGTGCAGACACACTCATTTCACGTTTGTTATTTAATTTAAATTCTACCCTACAGTTGATATCCTTTGTGCTCTAGATCCCACAGAAACCTGGAGTGTCTTTCAGGCTATCTTCCTGCGAGGCCTACCGTAGGTGCCAAAATTCATTGAACAAGGATTTTACTTGCAGGAGAACGATGCCCACGTCGGAGGCTGCGGTTTGTTCTTTGGGCAGGGCAGGAGCTGTCTCCCGCTGAAGAATCAAGTGGCAGCACAGGGTGCTTTGCCCTGTATTTCTTCTGCAATGGTGGCTTCAAAACTATTTGGTGGAATGACATCCAGCAAAAGCATACGTAAAAAATACGCATACATGCTTGGGAGACACGTTTCCCTAGAGCGGCTTCTGGGTACACTTAGAAAAAACCCAGGATTTCTTCAGATGCTTTGATAATGTCAGTAATAATAGTAGTACAGTTTCAGTCAAGAGCAAAACTTCGCTCCCCTGCACAAAAGGCAGGATTGTGTAGATTCAGTATGTCGGTGTCGGTAATTCTCCCTATAAGTATTTGCCATCCGCAGGGTGCACCTTGCAGGGCCTCTCAGCTGCCTAGGGATGGAGGCGTGTGCCTCTGTGCCTCCCCGCTCAGCCGAGGGGCTTTACACACCCGGCTGTTTTCAGAGAGCCTGCACCAGTCCAGAGGTTTTGCTTCCTCCCGTGAACAACTGATTTGATAGCAAAGGGAAGAAAGAAGGAGAATTTTTTAAATCCTCGCAGCCCCAGTTGAGGGACTCATCGTAAAACTATCAGACAGAATTCAGCGGAGTGGAAATCCCTGCTCTGATAAGCCTCAGCCCTGGAAGGTGAGGGCTGCAAAGTTCAGGATGGAGGTGCGCTTGCTGGATGCCCTGCACTCCCTCGTGCTTGGCTCTCGCTGCTGTTACTGACCTGTGGTGTTACACGCCATTAATGTTAAAAAAAGAGCATCTAACCAAATTGAGCTGTAAGCGATTCACACCTAAACTACAGACTTCCCTTTTTGCTGGAAAAAGATTGTAATTCAGTGAAATGCTAATTCCAAAAATTCTTGGTGCATGATCCTGTGCATGGGCGTGTGTCTTTTGCATGCAAGGAACTGTAAATGCACTATATAAGAGCACATTTGTTAACACAGTTTATTGGCACACTTATTGGCAAAGCATACATAAAATACAGTCGTATTATATAACACACTGACTCACTGTGTCTTTACATGATGAGTTGAACATATTAATATGTAAATGAAAAAAATTAGTTTCTTTTATAAAGTTTCACATAAATACACCAGAATAATAATAAAAAAAAAGTAAAACAAAAAATGGTTTGAGGGCTTTACAAAAATATTATACAAGAAATATACTATGAAAAGAAATAACAACGAAGCCAACTTAGATACAATAATAAAAACACAAAAGTTTTAGATTTATTAAGCTGCCCACAAAGTTAATGGATTACATGGCTTTAAAATATCTGGATCGACAGCAATTTTACAAAGCATAAACTCTCATAGGACTGGGTGTCTTTTTCCACATAAAAATATTTCTCATGTCTTTGATGAAAAAAAGACATTTCTTGTTTCAGCATTTTTATTAAATGATGGAAAGAGTATCTACTGGCATCAGCTAAACGTAAATTAAAAATGCTGGATCCTTTAAATGATTAACTGATGAAAGAAAAGTTAAAGAAAGAACAAAAGTTACTTTAAATTACTTTTCCTTAAAAGCTTATTTTTTCTGAAACAAGAAATTTCAGGTGCAAGTTGAAAAGCAGAAAATATATTACAATTGTAAAAAGTTTTACATAGTTACGTTAATGAGATCCTGAGCACTGATGACTTGTTCAAATATGGCCATTGTTTGATGAGGAAAAAAACAACCCCTTCCAATAAAATGCATTGTCAGAAATTTACCATGAGATGCTATTTAATTTTCAATTATTTTAATTGAGGTCAGTGCCAGTATCATGTTGTATGTGAATGCTTCCAAGAAATGTATATAGAAGCTTATACAAGAGTTTCCCCTAATTAAAAAAATCAGATAGCTTTAGTTTAGAAATAGATACTGTATCCGTTGAAACATGGGGTTTTTTAATTATTTTTTTTTAAAGAATGCTGTGAAACAGTAATTAATAACCCACTGACATACATTGCAGTGGGTACTGCTGCAGAATAACCTATTGGGAAGCTTGTGGTGTGGGGTTTTCCGATTTAGTCTCCTGGTTAGCAGGAGGTTTGCTGTTCCACGGGCTGTTATTTCCCAGTGCAGGTGAATTGTTGAAATCTTCTTCATCATCCATGCCATTTGCTGCATCATACTGTGTATTCTCTAATCTAGTGATAAGCCTTTCGTCTTCGTCCCCAAATTCGCCTCCCATCAGAGTTGGTTCTCCTACCACCATCACATCCTGTGAACAGCACCCAATATTTGTTATATGGAAACCTTGAGAGAGAAAAAATCAACTTAAAAAAATTATGTTAGAGAATTTGCATCTCTTAACTTTGTGATATTTGAACAACAGAGTTAAAAGTTCCTGCATAGTAGGAACCAGGAGACAGGCTTACACTTTAATTCAAATGAAAAACTCTAACACATCTCTCTAGCCGCATGCTCATGGCTCCGGATCTCATAAACCCCAGAACTGAAAAGCAGGTAGACTGAAAAATACGTATGATTTTAAGCAAATAAGCAGGCTATGAAACTGCCTTAAACTCCTGCTTGAAATATTTAGCCTTTATCCAGTAATTCTTTCCTGAACCATTTTATTTGGAAAGGCACCAGGCTGCATCTCAGTTGGAACTTGGCGATACGCGTATTTTAAAAGTAGTTTAAAAGAAACTGCATTTCTTATCCTCAGACTTCTCCAATGTGGAGCACAGCACTCTAATAAAGATGGTAACTCTCTTATCCATAGCCAGCCAAGCCCTTTTACGCATCCAATGTACTTGACATTCTGCTACTTAATTATGGTAATTAATTTAGGTAAAGTTTTCGATAAAAACAATGTTCACACTGATTTGACAATTTGCATAGCTAATTAAGTCATTAGCAAAAACCTGCTGATTGCCAACAAGCCCTGAATTTACCATCTGTTATTTCATGGTGCCTGTCACCTAACTCCATGTAGGCAACCCTGCCGCCAATCTGTGCAGTAAGAGGACCAATCTGTCCAGCTGGTACCGTAAAAGGAAGATGAAGAGTGCTAATTATAATTACACTGATGAAGCTAGTAGTCATCAAAAACTGAAGCATGCAAGAAAGAAAGAATTCATCTAATCGCTGCTTTAAGTACAAATTGTCCTTCCATGAAAACAAGTAAACCACCTACTGTACTCTAGTGCATCACACATTTGCTGCAAAAAACCTAACCAGCATGGGATAGAAAGGTGCAAACTTGAGATTGGAAAGCAAAGGTGCAAAGCCAGAGAGCTCGCTTGTTCTCTCTGTTCAACGGAGAATCAGGCTGCTGTGCTAACCGCTGAAGAAATACGTGGGATGCATCTTTTCATGCAGTTCAGGTGGCAGGGCATCAGCTAGCATCTGGTAGAAGTGCAGTAATTCCAGATGTCTAGCTTTGTACCTGCTGATTTAACAAGCCCTTTCAAGAATCTGGTGAACAACAGATTCATATTTTAAAGGATCTGTTCCTCCTTATGAATGTAAAAGCATTTGTAAAAAGCAAACAGGAGACAAATGTTTGCATTCAATTATGTTTCTTTTTAATCAGATATGTACTTCCTTCACCATGAAACAATACAAATTGTTGCCTGTAAGTATTTACACTGTTTCTTGATATCCCTCAGCAGAGGCTGACATGCTACAGAAGAATGTTCATATCACATTTTCAGCCTGTGCTATGTGAAACATTTGTGAGTAGATGGAAACTGTTACATGATTTCTTCTTTACATTGTCTATATTTTGTTACTCCATATATCCATAAAATATTTGGTTAAATAAAACTCACACACAGCTTTGTGACATAGAAGTTTAAAAGACAAAGGTGTTTATAACCAGAAGTTTATCCTAATTTATGTCATCCCTCTAAACAACAGACAATGTGCTGAACCAGACCTGACCCCATCGTATTGTGAGAGCATTAATGACAAGAGAGACCTGGCAGAGGACAGCAAGTTGGGTTTGAGCGTGCAATGTGATACAGCAGGCAAAAAGGACCACAGTGGCTGAAATACAGAGTCACAGACCGAGGTGGCAACAGTTCCTCTTACTTCAACGCTCTTGAGTATGGACCTTAAGTTCTCTCTGTTACCATACCAGCGAGAGGTTGGCAACTTGGATGAGACTTAGAGAAGTGCATCAGAAATAACTATGGGGCTACAACAGCTGGCTGGGGAGGCCACGTCAAAGAATTAAATATGTCTTACATCCACCAAGTGATTGGGAGGGGTAAATGTGCTTAACAACTGCAAGTGCTGAAAGGAAGAGGATCACTTTAGGCCAATCCGATGAGACGTAAACTAGGGTACTAAGATGACATTAAGTAACTGAAAATGTAACCCCCACTATTCCTGTTACTGAGAACCGCAGACTGAGGATTAATGACCCCACCAGAACAGTGCTAGCTTTCCTGCTTGGGTCACCTAACACTGGGCTGGGAAAAATCTCCATCTGTGGTAGGAAACATGGTGCATCGGTGAGGAGATGCTCAATGGCCTTATAAGTATCTCCATCTCTAATTTCTGAGATTCTTTGCAAATATTATTCCTTTAATATAATGACACCCACTGAGAGGACAGTTTGCACTTATATTTCTCTCCATGCTATTGAGTCTCTCTCTCTCTCTCTCTCTCTGGGAATTAAGCTACAATTACACTGAGGTTAGTGGAGTTTTTCCTCATTCTATTTAAAAGATAGATATCACAGCATTAGTTACAGGACATTTTAAAATAATAATATAGATATTCTTGACAATCCTGCCACTTATAATTATGTCAGGCAAAAATAGTGTCTCAGGAAGCACACATGCTGGTTCCTCCCCGGAGAGGATTCTGCTCCTCAGACTGAAAGCTGAAGCCCCCACCGAGTGCACCCCATTGAACCTCCACTCACTAGTTCCCGTGCAATGACCACCAACCTCTGAGGAGGACTGGAAGTGACTCCTTTTAGAGCCCCTCAATGCTTCTCCTTAAATTGGCCAGTGGGGGTCACTGCTGTTGAATGACACAAGGCTCCATCCCTCCCAGGGTTGAGGCTGCAGCTCTGGAGTGCTCCTAGCTCCTGCTCATGGAGTGAGAAGCAGAATCCAAGAATTAAACCCTAGTCTCTTGCACGGCAGCACACACTGCTATGGCCTAGTTATGGTAGCACATATTTGACTAGATTAGTTTAAAAAAGATTTAGACTGTAGTCACTCAATCTTATTAATTTACTCTGTGATTAGAAACAACATTTTTGGTCAAGGAATGTCTCATGATAGTAAAATATGGTTGCAGTGAAGCACTGTAAATAAAGCAGTGGATGTTTTACATTATGTGATAGAAATGTATTATTTAATAATATAACCACAAAAGCAGCTTTCATGTATATCATACTTTTCATCCTGAAATAACCCTAATTGCCATCCAAACTTAAATTGATGCATATAAACTATACACAGAGATCACTTCATACACAACTCAAATGCAAGCACTTCTGTTTAACAGACCGGTCATTTCTCAGGCTTCATCTTTGTTATACCTAGCCTCAAAGTTTAGCTCTGCTATGCCCAGTTACATAACTAAACTTTTTAACTTGGGATTTTAAAGATCATCCTATGGCTAAACAATGTCTTACTGGAGCCTGGAGGTAAAAATGTGTGGTGGGCCATGTAAAATTCCCCATCCTTATGCTTGCCATCTTTGCTGCTGCGTAGCCCCGCTCAGTGTGTAACAGTGATTAGTTCGTAGCTCAGCTGTCACACTGCCCAGAAGTAGATAAACAGTGCTTCACAAGCCTGAGATTATTAAAACCACCTGAAACTATCAAGCATATTGTTCAAGCAAGTCTTACTCCAAGGACTGAAAGTTGCACTAGTTTTAGCAGCCAGCACACCTCTAAGTGCTAAGTAAAAAGAAGAAGGGTACCTCCTCCTGCCTGCCTGCCTTCTTACAGAATTCTGTTAGTGGTGATTATTTTAATAATTGACTTCTTAGCTCCTTGCCACAAAAATTATTAATGACTGAGAGCCCCATTGCTGCCCACAGCCATAGCGGTCACTGCTTCCAAGACAAAAACAGCAGACCAACATTGGTGTTGAAATGATCTATAGAAACAGAACTGACATTTTAATTAGGTTTCAGAGTGAACACTTTCTAGAGGAAAATGGTTATCTTTCACATCTCATCATACTCCTCGCTGTTAACCTGACGTTCTGGTCTTGTTCGGAATATTTTTCCTAAAGCGCAAAAACTGGAAACCAATTTGTTCACTCTCATCTTATGGCTAAATCTTAGATTCTGAATTGCACAGTTCTGAGACATGGGATAATTTGTGACACTCATCTTCTGGCCTTAAAACTGTAGCTCTGGTACTGCAACATCTGTTACAAACCACCTAAACCTACCCCCTGTTTTTGAAACACGCATGAGATTGTATTGCTCCCTTCCACATTAGCAGGTTTATTTATGAATTTGGCTTTTGAGGAGCTTACAGAGAACTACAAAGAGAAAGGGAGATTATTGAGGTATGTAACTTGCTTAAAGAGTGGAAGGAGGCTCTATTTAAAACTCTGGATGCAACAAAGAACGTTTGATTTACTTGGTGGCATGTAGTGATGCTTTATTCTTTCCAACACAAATGGTATTTCACTGGGTTCATGGTTACAGTATTAAACTCAACACGATCTTCATTAGTAAATGAAAGAAAAATCCCCCTATTAATTTCTATGGTTATGACTGGGAGCAGCCTAGAGCAATGGCTCTTAGAGCTTGTGAGAGTCATGCATTGTTGTCAAATTTCCAAATCCAAATAGATAAAAATGGATCAATGTGCACTGTTTTTATGAAAGTTAACAGAAAGTGATATTTAAGTGATAATGGCTGTACGGACCCCTTCTGATGATCTTGCATATACTTGTAATCCACAGATCACAGTGTTCTAAGTACAAGGGCATGGCCTTGCAAGAAAGTTTTGTTTGAAACAGAAGAATATGAAAAATGCAAAGGAATATGTTTTCAGCCAGTAGAGAGGCTTGAAACTGAGCAAAGACTTGGGAAAACACTGCAGCTAGCTTCAACTATTAGAGGAAATTAGTATGGTGTAAGCAATAAGCAATGACACACCCGAATTAGATAACATTTCTTTGCAATCATAGCAAAGTTAGCATTAGAAAGGCAGGTTTTCAGTGAACCTTGCAGAAGGAATCTTGTCCATCTTTGCTCTTTGTTTAGAGCAATTGGTAATTTCAGTTTCTGCACAATGCATTAACATTTCTCCCAAAGATCAGATGTGAACAGGAACATGACTAAATCTAAAAACAGTTCAAATGACTGGCATCTGCTGAGATGAAAGCAGCTGAGTGGACTACAATTTCTGGGACCCTGTTCTGTCCATCTTCCTTATGCACTAAAAAAAGCCAACGCATTTGTGGAAAGCACTGGCAGTACTGAGCTTGCACCAATGAGAACCTGAGAGAAGATAACTTCTGGTGAGAAAAATGTTCCTGTATTTGTGCTATGGGAGTGACTTTGGTGGCATTTGGTTCTACTTCCCACACACTGCAGTGTGTTGTCTCAGCACCTCCAGGAGTCAGGTCAAAAGCACCACTGGTCAAGTAATAGGCCAATCTAGGCACAAGTTGTGCAATGCAATCGTGTAGCACGCTGGCTAACTCCATTTGTTTTAAAAATGTAGGAAATATGGAGGAAATATGTAATATGTAGAAAAGATGTTAATGAAGGGATTTGGGCAGGAAGAGTCATATTGAAAAGAGATGCTGAAGGTCTGCAATCAGTAGCATGAAAACTAACAGAATCACAGAAACCACTGGTTTTCCCACCATTATAAGGGAAAATGAGTGCAATAGAGTGCAAGTGACTGTCAAAATGGCAAAACTTTGTATCTTATTTAACAGGGTTGAGAAAGTATAAAAAATATATGTGAGGACAGACTGAGACTGATCCATTTCAAATTACTGATGAGAGGGAAGATGCATACCCACTTACTGGCAGAGACCCTTAAGATGCTTTTGAAGACAGCGTTAATAAAGGTGTATCAGAATGTGTCAGCACAGTCAAAGTGCTAATAAACTTAAGGCAACACAAAGGGCACAAATGATACTGATTGATTAGGCTTCTGCAACTGAACTTCATGGTGCAGTGCCAACCTGACCCACGCATGGAAATACATCATTTCACTGTCTGGGCTTGGCTCTGTATTGTCAGTGCTGTCCCTGCCTGAAGAATGGATCAGAAAATAACGCAGGTAGAAGAAATGGCACCACCTCCTATTACTGAAGAAGAACATGTATGTGACAAGTACTGTTCCCTCTCACTGAGGAACGTGTATGTGACAAGTACTGTTCCCTCTCATTGAAAAAAAGGTTTACTTAGCCCCAAGTATTTATCTGAAGATCTGGAAGGGGCTATGGGGAAAATGACAAATCTCTTTGAAGTTTCAAGCTTTGTCATAGCTGATGATACTCCAGCTGCTTTCCAGTCACTCTCCCAAACATGGAACATTTGCCTCTCCAGACATGAAGACCTCATTAAAAAAACAAAAGTCAATGGTGTGAGAGAGAAATGTGCATGAGGTATATGGTAAGTTCACACATTTGCCAGAGTGTACGCAGCATTACTGTAGCAGCAAAACTGAGTAATCACTGATCAGTAATTACTGATGTCCTAAACCAAGAAACATTACATAGAATAGAGGTTAAGGAAACATTCTCTAACCAGGATTAATTTACTATCAAAAAGAAAACAACATAGAAACATAAAAGTGACGGGAAATTAGAAGTTAGTCTATTATGGTGGAGAGGCTGTCTTTGCTGGCTAGGAAAAAATCACTTGAGAAAAAGAGAAAACTGAAGTACATGACTTCATATTAATCCAGGTTTGGTATGGATATGAACTCATTGTTGAGGTTCTCCAGAGAGGAGGATGGGAATAATGAAACAGAAACTAGCTCTGGTTATGTGAGTCATCAGGACAGAAGATGCAGTGATTTCATTCCTCTTCCTAGTAATGAGGGGGAAAAGGCTCTTAACACTGCAAATGAATGATTTCAGTATTTGTTTTCTACTGACCATGAAAGTCCCATTCACAGAAAGCTCTATGGCCAAATGAAGCTTTTAGGTAGTTGAAAACTGTCAACCTGAGTTTGAGGAAATCTTGTCTTCTATTGCATATAAGGGAAATCAAACATTAGCTACTGAAAGATTTGCTTTAAGGTAAAGTTAAGAGAAAGAAACAGAAAGCAAGTTACTGCTACCTACAGCTAACTTAAGAAAGCAGTGGCATGCCTGGAACAAGGCCCACTTCAAAGAATGCATAATTTTGAAGAAACATGGTAACATCTCTCTATTTAACTGAGAAGTGTTGAATAGTTTTACACCAAAATATCCTACTGCTAAAATTATTTTGAGTTCTGTCTACTCTACAGGGTGGCCCAACCATCAATTCCATCTGGTTTGCTATCTTTGCTGTGGGGAAGATGGGAAGAGCTGTTAGTACGTCAAATGGAACAGCTAAGCATTTTCCACTTTGCAGAGGGAAAGGACAAGCGTCCTAAAAATGGAACCTGATTCTCCATACAAAAGAGTTTGGACAATCTTGCTACTCTGGTACAGAAAGCAAACAATATTGAAACACATTGACTATTCAGCCTCCTGAAAGTCAATGAAAACTAAAAATCTATCCCTTATACCATGATAAACTTCACCATTATGTCTCAGATGCTCAACTATCATCTCCATCAGGAAGAGCAGCCTGGACTACTTCATCTGTCAGGAGCAGCCTTTCAGTACCTGAAGTCAGCTTGAATATCAGTGGGAATGACAGGTAACTATCAGAGGGCTCAATTACACTCAAACATACAAGTACACATGGCTACCACTGAAGCCAACAAAAGTCATCTCTCCAGGGAAGAGCAGGCTGAAGAGAGGCAGGGGGTCAGATTCTGGTCCTACTGAACTGAACTCAGGGCAGAGAGTAGCCGAGATAAAGTGATTTTACTGTCTTTTAAACTTGGAGACAGCAGGGAACTAGCTGCTCAGTCTTGCACCTAATTGCTGTTTTTTCTTGAATATGGTTGATTATTGATCCAAGGGGTTTTCTGGCAGACACAGTCAGTGAGGCAGAGTGGTCCCTGACACCAGGGGATCAGGTAGCTGGCCTTCTGACTGCTTTATGCTGTCCAGAGATGCCTATATTAGGGATTTTTTTCTAGGGATGCAAGCCATGTGAAAATTTTAATATGACAAGGAGAAAATATGAGTTTAATGTACCGAAGCCCAAAGCTTCTGTAAGCTAGTAGATTTCTGAATTAGTTGCTAAACAGAAACCTTCATTTTCTTTCACTGGTGTTAGTCTACTCCTCTTTTTTATCTGGGTATTCAAGCTTCCTAGGAAGTGCCTGCATCGTGCTAACAAAAGGCCTATATTCTTTGTTAGGCTTCAGAGGAGACCTAGCCCTTTCCTATCTACTGATCAGAAATCCAATAAAAATCCCTGCATGTTATTCCCAAGATACCACTTCATAGTTCCTAAAATATCAAATTAATTTCCCTAGCTTTAAAATGCATAAGCTATCTCCTTATTGACTAAGGCAAACTTTGTCACAATTTGGGGTCTGATTACCTTTATGTTGTGACAAAGGCAATAAACGTGACATTATTAAAGTGCTGGTGCAGTTCTGGAAATGACTTGGTGTTACCCGATATAATTAGGATGTCAACAGTTACAGCTAGCAGGGTGGATAAGCTAAGACCCATATTCCAAGGGATCTACCCTCGGCAAGTGGAGTGGTTGGAAAAAGACATAACCTCTGCAGGTGAGTTAATTCATAACCTGTTCCACTGAAGTATCTGAACCCGGCACCGATCAGAGGTAAGGCACTAACACAGAGAGACCAGCGGTCTGCTCAGGTACAGCTGTCCTGTTCCACAGGGACTCATCCTCACTTAGCACCTGGCAGATGGAAATCTGCAAGACTCATGCTATATATAAAAACACAAGGCCCTGTCTGAGTCCTGCCGCCAGTGGAAGGTCTCCCACTGACAAGAAGGGGAGCTGGCCCAGACCTTAAAAAAAAAATCACATCTGGTCCTCAGGGTACCCCTGCTTGAGGGTTGTTCATTAAAGCTGCACTGCAGAACGGCTTCTTCACATCTCTCCACTAATTCCCCAGCTTCCACAGCACACTGTGCAAGGTCGCCTTTTGCGTGTGATAGTTTAGGCTCAAGAATGCACCTTCTTTACAATGTAAGGAAAGAATTAAAGCACCATAAGCGATTCAGGCCTAAAAGGAAAGTGAGACTTACAGGTACCTGACTTGATAGACTCAGGTTTGCAGCAGCTGACTTTTTCTTGCTGTTGGTACTATTGGCGTTGTTCCCAGCACTGCTGTTGGAAGTGCTGCTGGTAGAGTTTTTCCTTTTTCTCCGTTTGGTTGTCGGTTGTCTTGTGGGTTCTGCTGCAATAAAATGGTAAGAAGGAAAGCAAATGGCAGATATTGTAAAGCATGTACTAAAATGATCCATAAGCAGGAGTGCTGAAATATTTTTTCATCCAGTTTTAAATTTCTATGTTCACTAGTAGTAGTACTAGTAGTAGATTAGTTTTAACATACAAACCGTAGAATATTTGGACCCAAGCCAATGGAAACTGCTTTCAATTTTGTATAACAGACTAATGAAGCTTATTCTCCCAGCATTATCTATAAAGATATTTGGAAGCATTTTACCAACGGGAGTACCGTGATAACTATCGTGATACACAAAGTGACCGTGTAACTTGCTGAAAATCACACAGCAAGCACAGCGCAAAACAAAAACCCAGGTCTTATTCTGGTGTAGGGTACAGCCTCAACTGACCCAGCCAGAGGCAAAGGCTAAAGGTAGCTTTCTACACTGCTGCTGACATCGATGCAGCATACAAGCAACTACCATTTGAGTTCCTTCTACCCCTGATGTGGGCTTCATCTTTAAAACTGCCACTCCCAAGAGAACACATTAAAGTCTGCTGAATGCCATTTCTCTGCAAGTCTTCCAAATCCAGACTGAATCAGGACAATTACATAATTTTGCTTAAATTGGCAAAGAACAGAGGGGCAATTGTACTTCTCAAATTTGGCCTGGGCATCCATGTGAATAGTCTTAGATATACAAATCTTTAATAATCTGAAAAAAGAAAGAATTATTATTTTGAGGTGGAAGAGGAAGGAGATTAGGTCCAGGCCTGTAAATAACATTATATTAGTCTCAAAGACAATTAATTATGAATTGTAGCTGTAATTTCAGAGTCACAGCAGGAAGCTGAATTACACAAACGATGAATTCTAATGGAGCCAGTAGGCATTTTGCATTCCATCTACACGTATTTTTGTACTAAATTATATCCTAGTCATAGTGAAACCATCTGAATGTGCACATCTATAAATCAGTTGGGTCAGACTGAAATCATAAAACATCAGAATAACTTTTAGGCTTATTTTTGGAACAGTGCTATTTCTTATTCCTTTCCTTTGTAAGTAAATTTTCCCGTTGTTTCTATACTAATTTAATTATAAAGTAAGTAAAATGCTGGAAATGAAACATACCTGGTGGGGCCACCATTCTCTGCCATTTTTGAAACAAGCAAGTTTTCAAGCAGTCTCGAGGACTTAAATTGTAAGTTTTATGTCTTGACATCAGTTCCTGCATTGGCTCCAGTATTACACACAACTGGAAGAAAAAGTCAGAATAGTTGATCAGTATTTACATAGCTGGAAAGTATATTCTTGGCCTTTTTTTTACCCTTGCTAACAGAGTATACCTTATAGAGTTCAGTTTAATCTGCAGTGGGATTGCAGGATCAAAACTGAATTGAGAAAACTTGTGCTCACTATTTGCTATCTTAAGTATTTTTTTTAAAAAAAATCAGATAAGCTTCAACTCTGGTCTTCCAGACTACAGAGATTTCAGAAGAGCAGAAGATTTTCATGCTTGATTGCCAAAGCTGCAAAGATGAATTAATAAATAATAAAATGCCCATAGCAGGTTATCATTCCCATATAGCAAAACGTACACACAGTGATCTTCTGACCTGCTGCACTCCACAATGAAGACTTCTCATAAATGATCTGTTATCTTGCTATTGCATGCAAAATAATTCAAATAATTTTGTTCCTTTCATTGTTATGAGGACTAAATATTCTCTTCCCATCACAAGTGACATGCCCAAGAAAAAAGAGAAGCATTTTATTTTCTTTCTCAGCCTGAATGCTCTATTCTGTTGAAGTTGGAGATTTCTGAAAACATGGAATTTCAAGGAAACAACTTTTTAAAATAGAGTCTTATGTATTTTCTATCTGTTCACTTAATAATTAAAATCACTGTTCACTGCTTTTTGCTCCTGTTAGCACAGCAGATCTAGCATAAAGAACACAGTGAGCTGGTTTCTATTCCCTCCCGTTTATCACCACAGAATCGTTTCCAGTCAGTTAAACCTTACACAAAGCCACAGAAGACTACAGAATTGCACACATGTAATTGAGGGCTTACTCTTGCTTGCAGGATCCTTGTTTCTTGGTCATCCTACATGAGAGGAAAAAAATCCAGGTTGACCCCTAGGTTCCACCTGAAATTTGCAGGGCTGGCACACGGGCGGAAAAGGTTCCTTACTTGCTAACTGAGCACATTTGATAAGGAAATAGCTGACACAGAATAAACATGGAACCTGCACGCCATTATTAGTCACTTTTCAAAGCAGAACTGCATTTAGAAGCAGGGGAAGGATTGGCTTTTTTTTTACCAACAGAAGTAAGGCAACAAGTTGGTCAAATTATTAGACGTTAGAATGGCAACTGCAGAAAGGCATAACTTAAGGCATAACTTTGAGTTATTTACTTAATTGTAACAAGTCTTGCTGAAGGAACATCTTGGATTTACTTTGGCTGGCAATGTTTTCTGTCCATGTTTTTACATATATATAAGACATGAGGCAAATCCTTCTCTCTGGGCTGCAGAGCCAATCAATGTTTGCTCCATTCTCCCCATGTGCAGCCCACTCTCATTCATATAAATGCAGATGCAAGTATTCAGGGAAGATAGCTGAAAGAGAGCTGCCATGAGGACTAAGAGATTAATTCAGCATTTAAATATTATTGTGTTTTGGCACTGCCTTTTGATGAGCCTTTCATTAACAGCAGTTAAAACAGAGATAACAAAGCATCAGAGAGAACGAAGAGCTTCGGTATGAGGAATTACTTTTTTTCCAACTGCAGAAATTGAATCTGCAGTTGCCTCACTGACTTTTTTTCTTACATAGACTTTTTACATATATTTTTGTAGATAAATATTTGCAAGGTAATCTAACAGACAGAGATCTGCTATCAGATTGTGGAGTTTGGGCTTGCATTTTCCTCTGGTTCAATATTCGACCAAAAATTAAGAGCATCAGGTCCTAAAAGTATGTGCAGGATCCAGTTTATGCGGTGAAAGAGGTGTTGTATTCTGAGTTCTTATTCAATTTATTCTGAAACCTGCAGGCACTTTCTCAGGTTTTGTGTGTATGAGAGAGAGAGAGATTTGTGATCATAATGGGCACCATTGCTTTGGTTCTCAAAAGTCTGAGTGTCTGGCAGGGCTGCCTAAATTGTCTCATTATAAGCAGATAGTAACTAGCATGAAAAAGATAGCTGTGATAATTCTTAACAAACTAGTTAGCCTGGGCAGAGCACTACACTTACATAGCTCTGCTGCTGCTGGGACTAAAAGTATGTAAATATACATGTAGGGTCTTGCAAGATTTCCTTAGGGACACTTTATTCATGACACATTTTCTCCTCCGTATATATTTATTGTTGGCAACAAAGAGAATGTTTCTTCTTTATCATCTGGCAAAGATGTTTCCTATTGTGCTCTAACCGTAATGCGCACTCAGAACTACGCAGTCCCTGCTGCCTGTAGATATCTTGACTGCTAATCCTGTCTATAATCTCTTTCACTTCACACACGAGATTAAAATGGGATACGAACCCAAGAAGTAACAATGCCTGTCTGATCTCACATGCATGGACTCAAACTGACAAGAGCTGGGGCCCCTACACTAGGACGTGGGATGGGCTCATCTTCTGGATGTTGAGGAGCTGTACAGACTCGTGTGAATTCCTCTTCTGGTTTTGGGGAATTCACAACCATTTTGTCCCTCTAAAGTCTGCAAATTGTAAGGTCAGCTTTGGATACCTGAGTAATAGGAGGGCATTGCACTTTATAGTGACAAGTCCATTTTAAATGCATCTAGCTCATGTGAATTGAGCGCAAATGTAAAATGAACTGGATTAACAATGATTGATATTAATCTTACAGTCTTTTTCAGTGACCTTTGAGACCTACTTGAAATCTAAAGTGACTCAAAACCAAATCCCTGAAAGAAGAAGAGATCGTGGTCCAATTATCTTAAGTCTGAGGAACCTGCCAGTGACAATCAGTAGCTTGGTTTTTACAAAAAGCTAGATTAAAAATGTGGGGACAAGATGCATTTAAGAGCTAGGTTGGCCAAAATCACCTGCTGTCTTTAACTGCTAGTTAGCAGGGTAACTGGCAGGCTGATTTGACTGCATCATTTTACAAAGTGACTTCTTAAAACAAAGCTAACAAAATGTTTTACATACTCCTACATTCATTGGCATATAGAAGCAGCCTGAGGCTTAGACTGCCTTTTCCCCACAGATCACCTAATCTCACCCTGTGAGATTCCTTTTCAAAACATCTAATTTAACATTTTTTAAAGCACTGGATAATATTAAACTGTACAAGTCTTTACTGTGGTACTACAATAATAATAATATTTGGAACACCAACAAAACCAATCTCTTCTACAAGCATTTTATGCACAGCTCAGAATCAGTCACCCAGGAAAATACCCTAAAGACTTAAAGACTTTAATGCAGTGATCATGTATGATCACAGAAATAATTTCTACTTTTCTCGGAACCCAGAACCTTTAATGGCAATGCTTGACAAGACACCGTTAGATAATTCCAAGCTCCACGTTTAGACAACACAAAAGGTGGGATTCATTTGCTCGCACATAGGTGTCCAGCTGAAATGCCCCAGGTTGTGCTGGATCTGATCCATGTGGTCACTCTTGCTGTCCCAGAAGGACACAAGGCTCCATGTAGATGTTTCAGGCACTAGAAGGTGTCTTAAGTGTGTGGGCAATTGAACGAAGCCCAAAGAAATAGTTAAAACAGCTTTTAAAACATATTTGGAAGAATGTCTATCATAACAGATTATATACTTTCCCTCTGCAGTACTAAAATCTACTGAAAGCACTCCACATGATGCTTAGTAACCCAATATTATTAGAATTAGTTTCCAGTCAGCTCTTCTCATTTGAGCTCATCACAATGATATCTGACCATTACTGCAGAACTATAGCTGTGAGTTGCATCCAGCACTAGAGACGAACACAATGCCTTACAGTGAGAGAAGTCATTGGCATGAGAAGTTTATGTTTGTGGGTGCCCAGTACACACCGGGACACATGCATGTATTTTGGTGCTGTATAAAGTGATTTTGGTACAGTTCCACGTGGATCCTATGGACAATTCATCAATTATAGGGCTTGGATTCAACTTGATAAAATGGTAATGTTATACCCTCGGGGCTCAGGGAAGTGAAAGTAGGGAACATAATAAAGCACATGTTTTTTTGCATTAGTAAAGCACATCTGGAAGGATTTGATTTATTTTTTTAATGACTTTTATTTTAGAGGAGAAGACTAGCATTTACAGGTTTCAGAAAACCAGTGTGTTTTAAGAAGGCATTTATATGAGGAGATACTGGAGGCACCGCAGACAGGAATCAGAGGGTTCTGAGAATATGGATCCACAAGTAATTTCCTGTAATACTTCAGTTATTAGCAGAGCCAAAAAATCAGCCTTCACAGGTAAGGGGTCAGATTCAGCTCTGAGATCACTCCAGTAACACCAAGAATGGTTTTAGCCTGATTTTTGTTCTAATGCTGGGTTTCTACTCTATTCTGAGAACAGATGCTCATTCTGGTAGCACTGAAGATTAGCAAAAAGACCAATATGAAAGCTCTCTTTTACCTTACTTTTGCATACCATAAGCTTATGTATTCTATTGCTAATTTAATTAGCAGTTATCCTCCTCAGTGAAAGCTCTTGTCTCCATGAGATTTTTTCACATTTCCAGTAGCGAAGGTTTGTTCCGCGGTTGATGAAGACGTTGGGGTCCTGCCGGCTCTGAGCTGCAGGTGGCAGAGCTAGCCCAGCTAAGAGTCTTCCCCCGCTTACATGCTAGGTAAGAGCACAAAAGAACCGCAGCCTTTCAGTTTTTCAATGCCTTTTGCATTTTAAAGAGAATTCAGTGGGACTCGAGTCTTGCAATACTTAGGTGGTGAGACCGACATAATCACCAAGCCAGTTTCTTTAAAGCTGGAAACACATCTAGTCGCTAAGTGCTGGGCAGCCAATAAGTCTAGTGAAAGAAGCAAGTTTTGAGAACTGTATCTTCCCATGGTTTGTATAAGCAAAAGTTTCACTAACCACAATGAAAAAAATGGAATCAGCTAAAATTTTCATGTAGATGACACTTTAAAATTTTAATATATAATGTAACATCAGTTTTTCTGAATGAAACCAGCAAGGAACATGCCAGCAATGAGAGTGTTCCCTGAAGTTTTACTGAAATTTAGTTTTAACTCTTTGATGCTT